TAAAGGGGCCACAGCTGGATCACAAACCGCGGCCCCTGGAGGCAGATGGAAGACCAGGGCTATGTTGTCTCTGAATTGCTCAGATTCTCATTAACTAATCATACTCCACCTTCTTCCCATAAGGATTTAAGGAGGCCTTAAAACCGAGCAGGAGAGAAAACAAAGTGAGGGCGAGGAGATGGAAAGGAGCCAGGCACTGTGCAGAAGGGCAGCGCAGGGCGCTCAGGGCCGGCTGGGCTCTGCCCTCCAGCAGCTGCGGGGCCACCAATGCCACCACGCGGGAGAGAGAATTAGGGGCGGCTGCCCTCTCCTCCCGCCCGGCTTGCGCAGGCCCTTCAAAAGCTCAGGTGGAGGTGGGGACAGCAGACGTCCCAGTGGCACTGGTGGCCTCTTGAAGTCTGTGTCCCTCAACTCACAAGAGAGCGTTTCTCCCAGGGAAGCAGCCGGATCGTGTCTCTCGGGGACATGGCAGACACTGAGCAGGCCTCCTAGCCTGGCTGCGGTGGAAGGAACGGGGTCCTCCGTAGTACTGGAGCAGGAGCCCCACCTGGCCACTGGGACAGCTCTGCCGTGGGCAGGGAGCAGGAGAAGGTTCCCTAAGAGGAAGGGGCTACACGCGCGAGGGTAGGACTCCCGGGAGACCAGGGAGCAGCAGAGGGGACAGTGGGGCAATGGTAGGTGGCCTTAGGCTGATGGGGACCCAGGAGAGATGGGCAGCCGCAGAGGAGGAGGAGCAGGAGTGCCCGACTCGGCCACCTGGCTCCCCTACCCTCCCAGCCACTGGGTCAGGGCGGCCCCTCGGGCGGGCGAGTCTAATCGCAGGCGATGCCAGTTTTGCAGTGATCCAGAGTCCCCTTTAAAAGTTTGTCCCCAAACAAAACCCCTCTCTCCGCCCCGCCGTGGGAAGCGTGGCCGGCTCCAGAGGAGGCTCTAAGGACAGACACGGGCACCCTCCTACACCCCTTCCGAAACAACAGTGGGTGGCCGGCAGGCCGAAGGAGAAGGAAAAGCGTGTGGGGAAAATCCCCCAATTTTGCAATGTCAACTGCTGGGAGCTCGGCAAGCCGGCGGCTGTGGTGCTGCCCCCGCGCGTCCGCCCGCGGGACTGCAGCCCAGGAGGGAGGGGCGCCGCGGTTGATCTCCTGGTTCTCAGACTCTGAGCACGCACGGTGGGTAGGGAATTACCTTTCATTCCTAAATCCTACCGTGGCTTGCACTTTCCCAGAGCAGAAGTACAGTGACTTGTTTTTATTGGATCATCACATCCTACCTCTAGCAGTGTTCTCTTATTTCCTTTTTCTTCGACATTAAGTCAGAGACCATGCATTAAAGAACTGATGAAGTGGATCTTCAGCAGACAAAGATAGCCACGGAGCAGAAGAGCTGCGATTGCTTTTCCCTGAACGCTGAACACGCTCAGGGCTGGGCGCTGCCTCCAGCGAACGTTTAGTCTCCTTATGTTCGTGTGCAATCTTAGGGCTGTGGGGAACCTTAGCCACTGTACAGATCACGTTTGCGGAGGAAGGAAACAGTAAGCAGAAAGCACCTACTGAGTGCCAGGCGCCAGCTGTACTTCTGGTACCTCACCCGAAATCTACCATAGCCCTTTAATACGCGTTTCTGCCCATTTTTCAGGGGATGACACTGACGACTCAGCACGGGGAGCAGCGTGATGACAGCTGCCCAGCCAGCGAGGGCCAGAGCCTGCATTCCACCCCGCTCCCAAGTGTCCATTCATTCATGGAAACAATTTGACTTATGATTAGTGGCTCCTCTGACTTGACTTTGATATTTTTAGAAACTCACCTAAGTGAGTTGGGGTCTCACATGCATGGGCGGGACTTAAATCAAAGTGGAAGATACAGTACAAACCTGCAGCCAACTAGGAGGATTTACTTCCTCCTAAGAGAATTCTAGAAAAAAGGGCTTCCAGGCTAATCGGGGGCTCCCTATCAGCCATTCTAGCAGGTATGAAGTTTGATTAAACAGCTTCTCTGGAGAAGACGTTTCTCCCTGGGTCAGGCTGCTCTGGCCCAGCCACCGAGTGCAGCCACGTACTGGGGACCCTATACCAGGCCCTTCTTCCCTCTCTGCGCCTCAATTTCCCCATCGGGACAGTGAGATCCTCACAGGGTGGGACCCCAGGCCAAGTACAGACAGTTTGGTTGACCTTTCTAAAATGCTCCAGCTTTAGGGCCGGCCCGTGGCTCACTCGGGAGAGTGCGGTGCTGATAACACCAAGGCCAAGGGTTCAGATCCCTATATAGGGATGGCCGGTTAGCTCACTTGGGAGAAAGTGGTGCTGACACGAAGTCAAGGTTTAAGATCCCCTTACCAGTCTTTAAAAAAAAATAAAAATAAAATGCTTCAGCTTTCTCTTGAACACTCTGTGTCAGGAGCTGAGGAGCAGCCACCAGCCCTGGCTGTGGAGCTGAGAAGGAGGACAGACCTGCAGCCAGACAGCCAAAGTCAAGACCCCAGCTGTGCTGGCTCTCACAAGAGGAGAGCGTAGCAGGCCCTGAAGCCAGGGTCTTAACATCTTTGAGCCTCAGTGTTCTCTTCTGTAAAATGGGCATCACAGCCTACCCTGCAGGTTTGCTGATGGGACTGGAAATGACATATCTACAGTGCCCGGCACCCAGTAGGTCCTGATAAAGAGCAGCCTTAGTTATGACTTGCCACTTGGTGGAGGGTCATCATCTGGGTAAGGACACTTGGTGGGTTGACCCAGGGCAGCCCTGCTCTCTGGGTCTGGGCTGCTGCCTCTAGGTCCCTGCAGGAAGACCCCCCAGGCCTCAGCCACAAATAGGTCCAGTGGCTGCAGACAGAAGCAGGCAGCTCCAGGCACGCTGCTATGCCAGCCCTTGCCTGTGTGTCATGGGGCCTGTGCCTCGCCCCTCCACTCCACTCCTGGGAAGAATGAATCCTTTATGGGGAAGCCTGACCAAGCCACCCAAGGCCTCCCTGGGCCCAAAGGATGAGCAGGGCTTCAGGCCCCTAGGTCTCACTGAGAACCCCACACACACAGTGGACTCTAGATGACTCTACAGAGTTCAGGGAGCTGCATCCCTCTGTCCATTGTGAATATTCCTTTAGTCCCTCCTGAAAGTCACACGCTCCTCTCTTAGTTGGGTTTTGGGGTGTCAGTGGTTTTTTTCTCTGCTCTGGGTTTGCTTCCAAGAAGTCTTTCTGGTGTGATTTTTTATATATATATAAACAGCTTTATTGAGGCATAATTCACACACAGTGAACACCCGTGACCCCCCAGCCCCCCAGCCATTGCTTTCAGGCTCCCAACAGAAGATAAATCAGGGCACCCCCTGGCAGGGCATGATGTAAACATTTGAACCCAGGCCTGGCAGCCGTGCTCCCACCCAAAAGGAGGGACATTTGAATCGACGCTGGCCTGGATTAAAACACTAGGGTCCACCCCAACTGTCTCTGCCACAGTGAGATTTTAGGGAGGTCATTCACACCCACCCCACCCACCTCCTGCTCCTCACAGAGGCAACCTCCGAGCAGGGCTAGGGCCCAGGCGGTGTCGGTACAGGGCGTGGCAGACACTAAACGCCGTGAGGGTGTCGGGTGAGGAGCCCACAAGAGGCCCCAGCTGGCAGGCAGGAAAGCCCAGGGCCCCAGGCCCAGCACCGCTAGCGGGACAGATTCTGATGTCCCGCCAGATTCTCCTACCGACCCATGAAAGCTAGAAGTCGGAATTTTTTGTGGATTCTCACAATTTTAAAAATATTGGCTCAATTTTTGGTAACTTTTTCACTGGATTATAATAAACACGGGGAGGGAGTACACCTTGGCTGAAATTCCTTTCAAACAAGGAGAGACTGCATAAAGCTGGTCCACAGGCCTCTGCAGACGTTTCAGCATCTCTTCATTAAGGGGCTCCCGGTCATAGTCCCAAAGCCAAGGGGGTAGGGGGTGGGTTCCAACCAGGTTCCAACCCTCTCTTTCTTTCGTGGCCCTCGTCCCGTGTCCCGTCGACCCGGCCCCCATCGCCCCCTGGTCCCTCAAACTGCAGCCTGGCCCTCTCGCGTGTGCAACTTCAGAGCGCCCAGCGTGCAAGGTCACGGCCTTTCCTCCCTCCCGTGGGTGGGTGACCGCAGCTGCCGGGACTTGGGGAGGGTGCAGCGTGGGGAGACCCATGCCCCATTGGCGCCAGCCGCTGCGCCTCCCCGGGTCCAGGAGGGTCGCCCACGCCTCAGCTCCATGTTCCCCAGTCGTCCAGTCCTCTGCGGGCGGGAATCAGTTCGGAGCGGCCTCGCCACGGCCAGAATCCCGGATCCCAGCTGCCAGCACCGGCCTGCGGCCCGGGAGCTCCGGGGGCGGAGCCGACGATCCGCGCGGGCGGCGACGGCAAGAGGCGCCGCGG